GGTATTGCCAACTATCAGATTTTTTACAGAAGCTCTGAAATTCAGGAATGACGCTGGGAATAGTTTTTGTTATATAAAAACAACTGCAATCAAAGTTTCTAAGTAGCATGAGTATAGAAAATGAAATTTAAGAAACAGGATCACTCAAACTACAGTATTGTGAAAAAATAGGAGAAAATATCACACCTCCATGAAAAGCTATTGGGCTAGCAGGGAAATTTAGAGGGCTCAGAAACTCACAGAGCTACAGTCAGTAACTCTGAAGTACAGCCTGATTTCTTGGCCTTTTGTTTTCACTCAATTAAGCTGAAAATCCTCAGCAGCCAACAAACAGTTGACATCCTCTGAAGCTGCCCCATCAATCCCCTCAGCAAAAATTGTGAGAGATACATGAGAGAAGTTCCCCCAAGAAAACTGAGGACTAGTCTAAAACAGACGGAGAAAAATAACAGAAGACAATCTCTGAATAAACACCACCTCTGGATAAACAGAAAAGCACAACTTGATCTTCCCTCTACAAGCAGATTGGGAAGTTCTTCCAGTGAGGTTATCATAGTTAAGCAGATACTGCTTTTGATCTTGAAGTCAGGCTCCTGGAGAGTTTTGGCTATGAAAATATGCAAATGTTTCCATTGGAATGCATGGTGCATAATCAATCATGCCCAGCAGGCCTTACAGATCAACAACACACTCTAATCAGAAGGCTGCCCAGAGCTATGTTCCTGGAGATACCAGGCAAGAAAATAATTTAGGAATGAAAATATATCACCATCTGTACTATTTCTTTATAATGATGGTCAGGAAACATGGCTGAAATTCATTTTCCCCCATCTTTCTGTAGCTATTCTACAAAGACCTAGAGAGACAATGTTGGAGAGAATTCTTAGAGGTATGTAATTTACTTTATTTCAATGATTTAATATATTTTTCCATTAAATTATAAACTAATTAGTAGATAAAATATAGGTACAGGAATAAAAATTAATTTCACAGTAATAGAGCAGCTTTTTTAATATAAAATCATCAGAAGATAGCAAAATCCAATCTATTATTGTCATGGCAAATGTCACTGCTTAACAGCAGTGAAACCGAAGAGCACAGGGTTTATTGCACAATAACTATTTTAACACTCTGAGGAAGTGTTTAAACAACTGATGTTTAGCTGTGGCTTGTCCTTTAGCAGGACAAACTATGTAGAAAAAGTTAGGCAGTTAGAAAATTTATCTTCTGTTCTTTTCTTCAGAGACAAGAGTAGAGGAGGGCTGGGGAAAATGAGGATGATGTATCAAGAAGATAATACAAATTTCACAATATTTTGAGGTCATCTAGCAGAAGACTAATAAAAGAAAATCTCATGATTTATTCAAATGCACTTACCCATCAGAGGGGTAGAAGTGATGTGTGCCTGGTGCCTTCTGGAACACCTGAAAGGATCTCCTCCAACACTACTGCACTTATGTTCTGAAGGGTTTCCCGCTACCACTGGCCAAAACACTTCAGTCTTAAAAGGCCCTTAACACTACCACCATTCTCCATACTTAACATCTTACTCAAAAAAAGGAAACTTCATCTCCTGCTCTCCACCACCCACCCTTCTATCCTCCTTCTTCCAAGAGGCAGAAGCCATTCCCTGTGGAGCTGGCCTGCACTGCGTCCCTCCTCACATCCTCACACCCACTGTATCAGCAGTCCAGGCTCTTTCCTGTCTTTCTTAGACATACTTTGGAACTATGTGTCCATGATGGTAAGTAACTGAAGAAAATACAAATGAGCAAGAAGGTCCTGTTAACTTCTGCACCTCTGCCTACTGGGAACATCCTCTCTGATTGCATTTGGCCTCTACAGACACAGCTGTCTGAAATATTGGCAAACCTGGGCCTGCTTCTGCCCACCAGAGAAGGTGATTAGTCTCACAGTGACACCACTCTCTTTTCACAAAATGGCCTTTCACTACTCAGATCCATGGATCTGGCTGTGTTTGACTGCTGCTGTTTGAACTGGAGATCAACCAAAAGTGTATTTTCTCTGTTCTACAGATAACATCTTAGTTGTCAGAGATAACTGCAGTTCAAAGCCAGACCACTTTTTCCAAGACTGCAGTTCTTTATGCATAAAAAACTGACAATAAACTCAATATTTAAAGGAAAAAGAAAGGATTCAAGTTTCCTCATTATATCAAATAATCAATCCATTTGCTCAATCTGAACAGTTTCATTTATGCTTATCTGCATTTCAGAAGAAGGAACACAATTTAGCTCAGATAAATTTTATTCAAAATGACCAACTGAAGAAATCTGAAAAAGGAAAGAATTAATGCTGTTAACTGCCATTTAATTTATTGCATTCCAACAGTAAAAATCATTATGAAAACCTCATGCTCTCCTCCTGCCTTAATCCAAAAGACACTTCCAGTACAGGACATAACATAGAGAGAAACATCTGTAGTATCTTCACAAGATGAAATAAAAATGTAAACAATGAACTTAAAAATTCTGCATCCAATGAAATATTTATTTTACTGTAATTTCCATGCACCTGACTACCAGCCACACAAAACACTAGGACTCAGTTAAGATATTTTAACATTTCTAAAATGTCAGAGTCCAAAAGCAATAATGAAAGCCCTGAAGCTGAATGCCTCCAAGAAACATTATGCTGGTGTTCTGCTGAACTGTTAGTTATTTTAGATACAGCCCCTCACAAGGATTTCCATTCTTATTCATTGAGATCCTTAAAACAGCTAAGAAGGGATGGCTTTTGTTTCATTTTGTGGAAAAAGTGAAGTAAATTTATCCATCTCCTAAAAGCTCTTTTTCAAACAGCCATTCAGAGCTCTTTTGGACATATTCATATGCCCCTGCTAATAACGAATCCAAAACTTTTATAAACTTCTGTCTCAAAATCACTTAAATATTGTAATGGATTTAGTTGGATACTGCAAAATGTAATGTCACCTCTCACTTTGGCATCTTTGAAGTGAAATGGGTTCCACTCAGTTCCACTAAGGTTTTAAAACAAAATAAATAACAAGCTTCACTTTGAGTTATTACTACATATGCCCTCTTTACAAACTAAATACTGGGGGTTTTTTTGTAAAGAGGGTATATGTAGCAATTAGAAATTAAGACCATATTAAACCCCTTATTTGTCTCACATAATTGCAAACATTATCTGATTTATTCAAGATGACCTTTCACAACTGCGTATAACAAATCTGCAAAGGCAGGTGGATTTTCTCATCAGAAGAGAGGACAGTTGACCCAATGAGCCCTGCCAGGAGGCAAAGGAACAAGGAATTCACCTCTGAGGAACATGCAACTCTCTCAGCACAGTCCTAGACAGAAGACTGGAAGGAGCCTAGAAAGAGGCAAAAAATGCATGGAGTTTTCTTGGAGAACGTGACTTAGAGATGAAACTGTGCTGCCAAGGAGGAGAGACTGGGTGCTCCCCTTCATTACAACTGCAAATATTTAGGAAGATCTCCAAGCAAGGGTTTAAGTGTTCTTCCTGTTAGTTGTGGACAAATGGCCCAATAATTCACCTCAGCCTCAAAGCAAAACTTGAGCTTGACTGGAAATATGTATTAAGAATGACCAAAATGTTTATTATGCTATTGAACATAAATTCCAGGTTTCTTTCCTACTTCAGTCTTTAATTCTGCTAATGCTGGAGCTCAACCTGCATGTCTGAAAACACACAACATAACACAGTAATTTTTATGCCCCTAACAAAATACATGCAGATGGAAAGAACAACTTTAGAAGACACCTTTGTAAAGTGAACTTATTTCCTATCATCTTAAGTATCCTGTGCTCAAGACTGGTGTCACAATTAGCCTTAAGAAGGCATTAAAGATGTTTATTCATCCTCTTTACCAGCTCATTGGGGAAAAAATATCCATCCCTCCAAGGAAGGATGATCTTGTAGCTACAGAAAATGAGGGCTTGACTACTACTTCAAGTAGATTATCTCCATGAAGTCACACAAAAATGCACTTAAACCCTGTACCTTAGCAGCCCAAGTTGTTAAATGGAAATGCTAACATATGGTTTGAGCAGAAGGCTAGCCTAGGTGACTTCCTGAGGTCCCTCCTGACCTACATGTTCTTGTGATCCTATTTGCTTTGAGACACACAGGATGAATGAGAAGGGCACTCAGACATTACAAGGTTGATTATAAGTGAAAATCTCAAATAAGTACCCTAACATTTTCAAGATTGTAATACATAGCTTTTTACTACATATATATGGGGGGAATCCTGTAAAAATGCTCATGGACTCAGTGCAAGTGACATCTATGACAGCCAGAGAAATACATCAAGTGATCCTGTTCTGGATTACGTGGTAGAACCTGCTAGTTATGTTGGTTTTCAGAAAGCCAACAAACTGAAAAACTAAACATCTGTTTTGACTACAAATTTTTTAAGTAGCATCATAAACTTGAAAGGCTTTTTACTGAATTACATGCAAGTAAATTTACCAGGTAGATTAAGCAGAAATCTTTACAGACAGACTGATGCTAACATGAACAAGAAAAAGTACTTGTCATCTTGCAACACAGAATACCCAATGAGTATAAAGTGTCTGCAAGTATGACAGTAAAAAATTTGAAAAATAAATTGCTAGCAGGTAAGATGATTTTGTATCTAATTTAGAAGATTACTTCTCAGGGTGAAGCTGAGTCAACAATCTCTTCTTAAGACTCATTCTCTTCTCCAAGTACCTCAGCTGCAGCACATTCTAAAAGCAAAAACAATGCAAAAGCAATAACAAGTCCTACTCTACAGATGCTCTCATTTTTAGCTACTGGTGTTTTTCATTTCCTGGCAGATCTCTCAAATAGGAAGGTTGTGATGGACTTTGGACTGCCTGGGCACAAACACTAGCCTTAGCAGCTCATAGTGCTGTTTACCAAACTTGTATCTAATGTCCCATTAAAAAATGGCAGGGAAGAAAATGGAATAAAGCTTAAAACAAAACACAACAAAAGATCAAACTCACCTTGCTGGAGGCACATCAATATTTGAAGAAACAACCTTGCGCTTCTGTTCCAGAAGACAAACAGAACGAGTGTTTTCCTTTTCATGCTCATGAGCTCTGTTAAATTTTTTGGTCTCTGCTGTTTTTAAATCTTCCTCCTTTGTGGTGAACAGGAGAAACTGTTGGTCTGGCAGTTTTCGACTGATGTCACTTTTTACATCCTCCTGTTGAAATGCATGGAAGGTCATTTCACGCTTGATGTTGGCTGCCTGAAAAATTGAAAGCAATTATTAAATTTTCCTTTAATTCACCTAAAATGGGAAACAACCCACTACCCACAGGCATTTGCTTCTAATTAATTATTTGAATTAGTGAATACCATTTCTTTGTCCTTCATAAAATTTGAAACTGCCATTAATTTCTCCAAAATGACTATAGCCAGGAAAATAAGCAATTTTTGTCCATTTGATAAAGCTATCAACCTCTTTATGTTAAATCAAAAAGGTGTTTGAATAAGAATGTCAGAAACCAGATTATAAACAACATATCTTTAATGCACATACATCTGTGCAGCATAGCTATGCAAAAGAAATCCTAGCTGTCTTCTTCCTAAAATGGCAGGGAAAAGAAATCACAATTTTTCCAGATTAAACATAACCAAAAAATTAAAGCGCTTCCTACAGCCACATACTGGATTTTTTAAAAGCTGTATTTGTAAATGAAGGTTTTTCCAGGAACAGAAAATAATTTGGTGTGATCCAACTCATCTGCCAGAAGGCAAAGGGGAGCAAGTGATGGCAGCAGGATCTCTGTGAGGAGCCATCACAGGGCAGGGACACACACCCAGGAGCAATGCCAGGTTGTCTCTCTGCCAGCACTTCCCAGATCTTCTGGTCTGCCACTTTCCACAACCAAAGACTTCCCAAGCAAACAGGTGCCTTAGCAAATACACTCCCACTCTGGAATACAATATGCTGGTGTTTATAAAGCAAACTATTCCAGGGTTGCAGGGAAGACCCTGAAAACTCATCAGAACCAAGCCACTCCACCCTCCCAGCAAGTAAAACAAAGCACAGGACCTAGATTTTCCTGTGAAATCCATTCCTTGCACAGCTACACTTCCATAGTTTCACAGAGGCACACCTATCTGTGAGGTGACCCCTCCAACCAACCCAAGCAACCAAGCAAAATATGGCCCAACAAAATGGAAGCTTCTCCTGCCTCCAGCAGAGGTACTTCCACACCACATGCACTTGCTCAGAGAAATCCAGGTGCCTTCTAGAGCTGCCAAATTGGATTTTAAAAGATTTGTATATTATTGCTGATCTTCACATTGGAGATATCCAAGCTGTATTGTCCTCAGATAGTAACAGCACTAATAAACTGAAATTTCTATGTCAACTCTTCCAACTAATTCCTCCTTTTCATCGTCCAAAAAATTAATCAATGTATTTGTGTATATATTAATGTAGTAAAATATATTCCTTTCTCCAGAGATCTCTGTAGATTTCAAACCTTGGCAGTTACAAGAATGGTGCAAACAATTTTAAGTTCACAGGAAAGATACTTGCCACAGTAATTTTGCTGTATTCTGTAAAGTGTATCACATCATTAATGCATAACTATTTAGGACTGATGATTTAATTGTTTCTAGTGCTTCCACTGAGAGGCTTCAAGAACAAAACAAGAGTTATTATTCTATGAATGTAAACAGTAGAAAGAATTAGACACTTTACACTTCTTCATACACAAACAGATGACACATTACCAAGAAAATCTGCCTGGAAGACAAAACAGTCAGCATGTGATCACACAGAATTAGGAGAAGACATAAAAACAACACAAATTGAATTCTGATTTAATGATTTTTAAAAAAAACCTTAGATTTACAATTAGCCTTTTTCTGAGTGCCTGAGAATCACTGAAATGCTGAGTTGCATTCAATTTTCAATAAAACTGACTTATAAGTAATGCACTGAAGTAACAAAAAAGCCTGAAAACACCCAAGTTCCAATATCCTGCCCCTAGAAATTATGTAACACCAAACAAGGGTTTACATAAGATTTGATTTCCATCCCCTCCACTGCTGCATGGTTTTCTCTTGCCTGACCACAGCTCCCTTCCTCCCTGGCCAGGATTTCCACCCCACCTGCGGCAGAGGAGGGTTCTGCGCGGGGCAGGAGCAGCTCCCCTGCTGGGCATGGCAGAGGTGCCACAGGTACTGGGCAGCACCAGCAGCTGCCTCCTCACCCTCCACAACCCCTAGTGTGGGCTGAGAGCATGGGGAGGGACAGCCTCCCTCATTTCCTACTCTCCAATGCCTGACTGAACTCAGTTTTCATCAGGATGGTTTTAATTAATCTTTTGATGGACTAAGTGCATGACTGTACCAAAGGAAAAAAAGTATTTTTGTCTTCTATTTATTAAATTTTAGGATTTTACTCAGTTTCAGCAAATATAATGTGCCATACATTGCTGAGTTTTCTTTACAGACCTAAGTAGTGACAACAGAAGGTTGCAGGCTCAGACTACAGCTGTAATATAAAGCCAAAACCAAAAATAGCAGAATACTTTAACTGTGATACCAGATAATCTATTCTTATATATCAAATTTATCCACATCCAGTTCAAACACATTTCATACGTCAATATGCCACAATTAACAGTCAGTCCCATGCATGCATATGGAACTGAGGAAAGACAAAAATCACAGAGCAAATGTTCAGGTTACAGAAGCAGCTCAGGTTCTTCAGCCAATGGCCAGGAAAAGCAGAAGACCAAATCCAATGCTTAGACTGATTCTCTTCCTCACCTTCAGTTTTCAACAGATGCTTGGAAATACTAACTTCTTTCTAAACTTTCCCTTGAGAGTGACTGCATGTAAAGAACCTTTTCTGCTTTAGAAGTAGGTGATCATGAAAGAAAGCCAAGAGTTTTCCTGAGTGGGCTTTCTCCAGTAGCTTTCTCCTACTCCACATGCAGTTTTTCTATTTTATTTCATCCATGTCTCTGAAAGCCATTTCCACTTGAGACACCTGCCCTGTCTGGAGGTGTATGGTGTCTTTTGCTGGAAATCCAACCACCTACACAAGCAGCCATTGATGTGAGGAGTGCTGAGGACCACGGTCATCCGAATGATGAGACTCCTCACTTCCTGGCAAACACTGATTAATGACAGGACACCTCTGACCTCAAGCTCTGCTTCACCAGCACTCATAGTTCAGAGATAACACAGATAATTTCCAATATATCTTTCCAGATAGTTAACTGTTCTGTCATATTTTATCAATAACTTTATTTTTTTTCATAGATCCTTAATATTCTTTTACCCACTTGAGTCTCTTTACCCATCTGAGGATGATCCCTCAAGTCTAGAATGTTTCAGCAAAAATTCTGTGGAAGATCTAGTCAAACCTATCTAGGCCCGTCTCACAGAAAGTGAGAACCTAAGACTTTGACACCATTTTATTTCGGCTAACTTCCAATACTTCACATTTCTCCATCCTTTGCTGTCTCAAATCCCATTATTCCCAAATGGTTCAACTTTTCTTGTCCTCCAAATTTGCCATCTTATTGCCTCCAGTATCAACTACTGGTAAAATTTCTGTCCTTTTCATGCACTTGATGAATTATCACTCATACAAGCCACTTGATAATAGGCTGTTTTTCTATGCAATTCACTGTGTATTTTCACCCTTAAGCCATTAGCAACCTTCAGCTTACTTTCAACAGAGTTCTTTACAACCTGGCCTCAGGCAACCACATCACTTGGAAGTTCAGTCACAGAAACAGGAGCTATAACCCCCCTGTAAATTAAACAAACTAGTTTTGTTTCTCTCTGCAGTTACCTCCACCTGCCTTTGTCAATTTGCCCCCCACCATCACTGCTGGGCAAGGGAAACTTTTGTTACTGTGATCCTTGGAAACAACCATATTAGCCAAGCCTTCCCCACTGGAGTTCAAGCATGGGGCAGGGGCAGAGCTGAGGTATGATGTGGCATCACTCCTTCGGTAATCATCCTGCAAAAACTGAAAACCATTTCGTGCTTTGGTTTCTAAGTAAAAACTTTATTAAGAAAGCCTTTCAATTTCTGTTTCAAGTTGTCAAGACAATCATATATATTTAGATTGAGGGTTTTACTTTTAAGTTAAGAGTTTTACTTTAAAGCTTGATTCATTATTATTAAACGACAAAGTTTAATAATCCATGTGACAGCTAAATTATTAGCACAGTTACTATTTTCAGCAGTATATTAATAATTTTTCATTGCAAAACCTATTTTAACCTGCCTATAGAAAGTTTTATGTGGTGGTATTTTGTCATAACCAAACTGCTGGTCCTGAACTCCACATCAAGGCCGTGTGTTGCAATGTAAGTCCTGTCCAAAATGAGCATGCTTAACACTGACACAAAGTGAGGGATTTAGAGAAGTATTTCACTATTCCTTACAAATGTTGAGCAGGCAGCAATTTTTCAGTAGTTTAGGCCTTAACTTATGTGCAGTCAATTTTTGCCCTCCCCAAGAGCACATCCTTGTAAGACGCTGACATTGCAGTTAAACCTCAGTCTCCTCCAATTTCAGTAAAATTTCAGCTTGCATTTTACCTTGAACAGCAAAAAATTATTGATCAAAAAGACAACTCAGGCACTGAATTGCCTATTTAAAGGATCAGCAAACACTAGAATAAGTAGACCTATCACATTTATATGAAAACACAGAGACTCAGACTTGACAGATTATTATGTCACTCCTTGAGTATAACCTGACTGGACTTTATCATCTTCCCTTGCTTATGGTACACTGCTGCTTCAAAACTGGGGTTATTTATTTACAAATAGCTCACTAGCATTTAACAGGCATTAAGATGTCTGTGTTTCCTATACAATGGAAGGTACTGAATTCCCAAGAATATTAGCATTGTGACCCAACTGTATGGAAATATATCTTCAAATGTGAAAACTGACTCCTACCCATATTCTTTCAAATTTCCTATTTTTTTGGTGCAGAACCTGTGGATTCAGGTGGGCACAGCAGGAACAGAAACATAATTTTTAACAGGCTTTGTAACAGACTACACAGACAGATGGAAATACAACAAACCATTGAAAGAATTGCCACACCACATACCATGCCTACTCTGCTGACAGTTTTATAAACATCTCAAGGGCTGATTTCCACATGGCAGCTGCCCAGCCCAAGAGAGCACTGCCTCCCACCCCTGTGACTCGATGAAGCACCTTCCATGAAGCTACACCAATTTACATGAG